GAGTTTTTATAAACATTTTAACATAAGTGATTGAGCTAAAATAGAAAAGCTATTGATTTACCTCCTAGCTGGACATCTGTAGGTTTGGTTATGATAGTATGTGTGCCAAAAATCATTTAGCAGCAGGCAGCACCAAAACTAATGTAGGACATCTCCAGGATGTTGCTTACATTGCCAGAAAAGACATTAAGGAGGAATCTGTGCACAAAGTGGGCACTCTCTCTGTACCACCTGGTTATATCAAGCCTCTTGAAATGTGATAGAAATGGAGAAATGGTGAGCTTTATAGTGGATTTTGTCCCTTTGTTGTAGAGAGAGCGTGACTCCCAGGTTGTTCTCTTGTCTAAGAATAAATGGGATAAATAGGCATTAACCAGAAGCATACTAAACAATATGGTAGTGTGACCAGAACACCCCTACCCAAGGAAAGGAGGTTATTAAATGATCCACGCGGAGTAATATGGGTTCAAAGATTACAAACAGTATTTTATTCGATAAAATACTGTTTGTAATCTTTGAACCCATATTACTCCGCGTGGATCATTTAATAACCTCCTTTCCTTGGGTAGGGGTGCTCTGGTCACACTACCATATTGTTTAGTATGCAATTCTTTTTGGGTTTATGGATCCACACTTACATGTTTAGTGAGTCGGAGATATGATTATGACACTAGTTATCAGTGTCATTATAGGTGGCTTTCTTTAGTCTATTTTTGTGATATATTAACCAGAAGCAGTTGCACTGCTGAAGATGATGTGTGTCACAATGGTGAGCTTCTAATCAGGCCTCTTCAGATTAGGTTAACTTGCATATGATTTGGTGTTTGTCAGATAAAGTGTCCATAAAGTGTCTTTGCTGCTGGACTTTTCTATTGATCAAGCAGAGGTGAGGAGAGTTTTTTGAAGAAGTCTAGGGATAGCTGCTGGTTTACCTGAAATAAATGTTCTTAACTTGTCTTCCCCATAGAAGCTAGAGTAACAAAATTATTCACTGATAGGCCCAGTTTTCCTATTTAAAAAAAGGCATTATTGGGGAAGAGAAGGGGGATATATCTTGTATTAACCGGCAGAAGCACAATGAGAAATACAGCAAGTATATGGTAGTGAACAGAGCTGGATCACAAGCTGAGTTAATTAATCGAGCAGGAAGGCATCAAATCATGAGTGGGATCAAGATCAGGGATGAACAGAGGTTAGAAATCTGCAGACAGTGAGTTACAGCATCGATAGCCAAAATCTTGGTCAGAAGTCCAGGGCAAGGTTAATAGCAAAGATAGGCTGCAAACAATTTAAACTAATCTAGAAGTAGGTATGATGAAACCTGGATCAATAAGCAGGATCAGGAAAACAGAAGTCTAGCTCAAAGCCCATTCAGCAATAATCTCATTCAGGGCCCAGGTTTAATTAGTGTGCTAGGCGCCAGTATCTGTTTTGGAGTGTTTACACCTACTACCTGTGTACACTCATCTAATGGTTATAGCAGACAAGCCCTCCAACTCAAAAATCCTACTTCATTGTTATCATTGTGTTCTGTTTCAAGAGTCTCTTACATACCTCCTTTTAACCCACCCATGGGGGCTTAATCATAAGCCTCAATTGTTAAGCCCCAGTGGGAGGGGTGAAAAATGTCCGGGGGCATGGCCTAGGGAGCGGCATTGACTAAGGCATTCACATGTACACATCCATACTAGGATCAGCTAAGGCAAGCGGTGATTTCAAGCTAAAATGTTCATTGCTCACTAGATGAGATTTTATTGCACTGTCATCCCAACTATCCTGAGTCCCAATGGGGCTCAACACCTCAGCCTGAAGCGGCGCCACCAAGTATGGCCTTCTTCTTCATTATGTTCATGCTAAAAAGTTGAATAACATTTGTAATAAAAATAACTAAAACATGTTTCTTTATTCAACTGTGCTTTTTTTTTTTGAGGACTGTTGACCTAAAGTCTAGTTTATTCCTTACATAAACCCATGCAGACATGAGGCCCCAGTAGTTTAAAACAACATTGGCATCTACTGAGAGATGATCCAGTGGTTGCTAAATATGTGGGTCTTAGACCTAAAATTACATACAGTATCGACGAGCGAGGTATTTACGGGGACCATCTTACACACAGCCAGTTTCAAACCGACCTTTCTCCAACTCCCTTGATTTACCAACAGAGGGGTACTTTTATATGTGGGAAATGTAGTTTTTGTATTTGGATACAAATAGGAAGAAGCATCTTCCCATCTAATGGACGATACAGGACCCCATGATGCGCTGGATGGTGTACTACATGGAATGCTCGTGTGACGCATTCTATGTAAGGAAAACAAAGAGGCCCTTCTAGAAGCGCATAAGGGATCGTGTGTATTTGATGCAAAATGGAAATATGGTTTCATCTGAGAGCCAACATGTTGGCCTGTACGATAATTTCAAGCTTGATGTAATTCATTTTTTTTGCCCTTGAGCATGTACAGTGTTGTTCAAGAGGGTGAGATATTGATAATTGCCTCCTCCAATTGGAGACTAAATAGATTTTTCAGCTAGAGGCAACAAAGTCCCCCCCAGCATTAATGAAAATACAAGCGTTAAAACTTTTTTTCAATAAGTCTGTAATGAATGTTATCCACTCATTTTTCTGATCCACAAAGTGATTTTTTTGGACCTTATTGGCCCTGGGTATTTCTAAATTCAGACCTTTTTTCACATGTATGGGTATCTATATGAGCATGGTATATGGGTTTTATATATGAATTGGCATTCATGATCTGACCATAGAGGGTCCAGGGATGCATGCTTAAAACAGTGTGTGAGTCAACCCCAGTAACTTTCAGGTTTTTGGCATAACCTTTGTACATTTTGGAATTAGGGCATGCCCCTTTGTGGCCTTGATCTATGATATTAATTGGAAGTTCTGCTTGAAACCTGTTCTACAGTGCCCTGGTTTTATATTAACCCTGTAAGATTATAGAATAATGTATAAATTGGGTTTTTTGCATTTGTACATTTGCAGTGTCGCTCTTTGTTGCTACATGGTTTTCCACCACAAGATGACGTATGGTACTTATAGGTAGCCTGACTTGTACAGTGTTGACTCATGGCAGGACTGGGAGGTGTTGGCTCCGTTCTCCTTGAGGGGACTTGGGTTCCACCAACTGCTGCTGTGTTGTTCCACTGCCTGTTCCTGGATAGCTTGGGCAATGGGGCAGACATTTTGCCACTGTTCCTGCCAGCACCACATTTGCACGACATTTGATTGGTGCATGCGTGGTAACGCATCCACTCAAACCGCCAATTTTTCTATTATGCTGACTGGCTGGTCATATCTTTTTTGATTGGGGTTTCTCCTTGATCTATGCTTAGATGTTACAAATAATTAGATATGAAGCCCCCTTGAACCCCAGTTATATGGGTCGAGCATGCTAAATCATATCTGTGCATACAGGTAATATACACATACATTTTATTTAGTCAAGCTAACAAACCTGTGTACTAATATATATATACACATGTTGCTGATTAGCTTTCCTTATAGTTTCATTATACTATCTTGCTATATTATGCAGGTTTATGTAGGATCTTGTTGTGTGACAACTGGGGAGCACCACTCTCTCCCCCTATGTATTGCTCTTGGAACCCCTGGGTTGGTTTCTTGGATGCCATTTTCAATTTGGTTGCATCTACTACCCTCCACGCTTATTGACATACTGTGAGATCATTTTACTGGACCTGGTTTTGCTCCATTTTTCTCTGGGGATATTTTTTCGGATTTATTTTTGTAAGTTAACCACTTATATGTACTACGCACACTGTATCATATGTGTCTTGTACCATAGGTTATATGTAGAGATGAGCGAAGTATTCAAAAATTCGATTCGACTGATTCGGCGAATTCGTGGAAAAATTTCGATTCGAGTCGAATATATTCGCTGTGAATTTAACTTAAAAAAGGGTGTTTGCTAGGCTTCAGAGAGACTTAATATTAGTGCAGAACACTGTACCTTTAATTTAAATGCCCTTGGAGTCTGCTGGGGAAGAGAAATAATACTGTCAGTCAGTATGACATGCAGATGAGTGCCGTCGATCTTAGAATCACCGCACACTTCACTCATTTGGGCAGTCACGGGGCCAAAAAACCAGAGTGTGGAGCCACAGTGTGGCGGTGGAGGCAGCAGCAATGGGAGGCCATACAGCACCCTATGACAAAAATGGAAACCACCAGCAGTGTGAGGAGACCTGAAAGTGGCACATGGCAGAGTGTGGCGATAGAGACAGCAGCAATGGGAGGCCGTACAGGGACCCATGACACACTCTGGACCTGGCAGCAGCATGAGGAGGCGGTACAGGGGCCCATGACAGATTACGGGCCTGGCAGCAGCATGAGGAGTCGGTACGGGGGCCCATGGCAGATTACGGGCTGGCAGCAGCAATGGGAGGGCCGTACAGGGACCCATGACACAACTCTGGACCTGGCAGCAGTATGGGGAGGCGGTACAGGGGCCCATGACAGATTACGGGCCTGGCAGCAGCATGATGAGGAGTCGGTACGGGGGCCCATGACACACTCTGGACCTGGCAGCAGCATGAGGAGGGCGGGTACAGGGGCGCATGACAGATTACGAGCCTGGCAGCAGCAACTTGGACAGGAGGACGTTCAGCTTCTGCACCGTCGGGTGCGTGCTCGCAAACTGTTGTCTCTTGGAAACGGATTCCAAGAAAGACTGCTGACGGAATCCGTGAAGAGGAGTAGCAGGAGAAGGAGCATCTGAACTGAGCGAGAGGAATATCTGAACCCATGAGATTACGGAAGCAGCATATGCCAACAAGCGACAATCTGCAGGGACCCATGGACACCAGCATTACGGGCCATGGCAGAGTGGGCGAGCAGCATGAGGAGTCGGTACGGGATGGCCCATGGCAGATTAGGGGTTGGACTTTTTGGGCAGGGGCCATGGCAGATTAGGGGCTATGGCAGCAGCTATGGGAGGCCCGTAATCTGCCAGCAGCACCTATGACAAAAAATGGAACCCACCAGCAGTGTGAGGAGACCTGAAAGTGGCACATGGCAGAGTGTGGCGATGGAGACAGCAGCAATGGGAGGCCGTACAGGGACCCATGAGAGACTCTGGACTTGGCAGCAGCATGAGGAGGCGGTATATAGGGGCCCATGGCAGATTAGGGGCCTGGCAGCAGCTATGGGAGGCCCGTAATCTGCCAGCACACTCACCCTATGACAAAAAATGGAACACACCAGCAGTGTGAGGAGACCTGAAAGTGGCACATGTTTTGGGGCATGATTCATGGCGGATTTAGTCAGTTGTGTCAGAAAACTGGTGGTTTAAATCCAGACTAATCCACGCCTGATTCATTTTCCTGGCACACAAACGTGAGTCTGATTCTCTCATCCACCACTTTGGTGGGTGGACAGTCGTGTCCTCCGCGGAGTTGCAATACCTCCTGCCGCACTAAAACACGCGCTCCGATTGCCACGCTACTGGCCCGGGCTCATGACAGCCTTTCAAGGGCAAATTCAGCTAGTTGGGGCCAAAGGTCAAGTTTCGTTGCCCAGTAGTCAAGGGGATTGTGTCTACCTCGGTTGGCAGGGTGCTGTCCAAGTAGGCCTAAGCCTGTTGTTTGAGGTCCTGCTCCAGGTCCACCTGATGCTGCTGCTGCTGCTGCTGCGGGCTGCGGCTGGTGGTTAGTAGTTTCCTCACTGCGCTGGTGAAAGAAAGCTACTCATCATCGACTGCAGACTGAATAGGGACTGAGGCAGCCGCTGCTGGTGGAGCTGCCACTGCTTGCTCCTACCACCCCCCCCTCCCCTGCCCCTGCCATGGCAGCGGAACGCGAGAACGCGCACAGGGCCCACAGGGACCAGTGTCTGAGGATGGACGTTGGCGCAGACAGGCAGAGACCAGCTGACTACATAGGTGGTTTTTTATAGTACGTTATTTTGGCCTCCCTCTCCAGCAGGTGTGTGAAAAAAAGGGCCACCATTTTTGAACGGTAGCGAGGGGTCCAACAAAGGTGGACAGCCAAAAAGTCATCCCTCTGTCTGATGGTTATTATTCGGCTGTCGCTACGCAAGCAAGCGAGCATGCTATGGGCCATTTGTGCCAAGGAATGCGAGGGACTCCCTGCCTCCATCTCCACAGCATACTGCCACGGTGCGTCTCTGGGTCCCTCTGTCTCCTCTTCCTCCTCCTCTACCAGATGCTCCTGCTCCTCCACTCCTGTCCCGCTGAGTGGAAAAAACCACCATTTCACTCAATAATTCCTGAGCACCAATGTCCTCCTCTACCTCCTCCTCTTTCTTCCTGTCCTGCCCCCACATGAGGGGTCATGTGGGCGCGTTGAGATCTGTGCGCCACGTGTTTCTTACCGCACCCTGACCCTATGGGCCATTGTTAACAGCATTTGTTCCAGGACGTGCAACAGAGGAATGACGTCGTTCATCCCATTAGTCCTGCAGACTCACGAATAGCGTGGCCTCCTCAAAGGGCCTGAGCAAGCGCAGGTGTCACGCATGAGCTGCCACAAATGGCTGACATCTAAGTTACAACAGGGAGTACCTTTATTCGATCCTCAGGGCGAGCAAGCTTTTAACACATCAGGAAATCTGTGATGGCCACCCGCAGTTTTGCTGTTTGGCGTGTAAGAGGCGGGTCTAACATATGTAGGGTTGAATTCCACCTTGTTGCAACGTTGGCAGTCACAGCATGAGGAGTCGGTATAGGGGGCCCATGGCAGATTAGGGGCCTGGCAGCAGCTATGGGAGGCCCGTAATCTGCCAGCACCCTATGACAAAAAATTCAAACACACCAGCAGTGTTGTGTGAGGAGACCTGGAAAGTGGCACATGGCAGAGTGGACCTGTGGCGATGGAGGACAGCAGCAATATGGGAGGGCCGTACCAGGGACCCATGACAGAAAAATGGGAACTCTGGATCTGAAAGTGGGACACCTGGCAGCAGCTGCAATGAGGAGGCGGTATATAGGGGGGCCTATGGCAGACAGGAGGCGGTAGGGGGCCCATAGGGGGCTGGCAGCAGCTATAGGAGGCCCGTAATCTGCCAGCACCCTATGTCAAAAAATTCAACACACCAGCAGTGTGTGAGGAGACCTGGAAAGTGGCACATGGCAGAGTGTGGCGATGGAGACAGCAGCAATGGGAGGCCGTACAGGGACCCATGAGAGACTCTGGACTTGGCAGCAGCAGCACGATGAGGAGGCGGTATATAGGGGCCTATGGCAGATTAGGGGCCTGGCAGCAGCTATAGGAGGCCCGTAATCTGCCAGCACCCTATGTCAAAAAATTCAACACACCAGCAGTGTGTGAGGAGACCTGAAAGTGGCACATGGCAGAGTGTGGCGATGGAGACAGCAGCAATGAGGAGGCCGTACAGGGACCCATGCACTCTGGACCATGGCAGCAGCATGAGGAGGCGGTATATAGGGGCCTATGGCAGATTAGGGGCCTGAGCAGCTATAGGAGGCCCGTAATATCTGCCAGGTCAAAAAATTCATGTGAGGAGACCTGAAAAGTGGCTGGTGGCGATGGAGACAGCAGCAATGGGAGGCCTGGGAGCAACCTTGGCAGCATGAGGAGGCGGTGGTATATAGGGGCCTATGGCAGATTAGGGGCCTGGCAGCAGCTATAGGAGGCCCGTAATCTGCCAGCACCCCTATGTCAAAAAATTCAAACACACCAGCAGTGTGTGAGGAGACCTGAAAGTGGCACATGGCAGAGTGTGGGCGATGGAGACAGCAGCAATGGGGAGGCCGTACAGGGACCCATGAGAGACAGACTCTGGACCTGGGCAGGCAGCAGCATGAGGAGGCGGTATATAGGGGCCCATGGCAGATTAGGGGGGCCTGGCAGCAGCTATGGGAGGCCCGTAATCTGCCAGCACCCTATGTCAAAAATTTCAACACACCAGCAGTGTGTGAGGAGACCTGAAAGTGGCACATGGCAAGAGTGTGGCGATGGGAGGCGGTACAGACAAGCAGCCAATGGGGAGGCCGTACATGCCAGCACCCTATGACAAAAATCAGACAACACACCAGGGACCCATGAGAGAGACTCTGGACCTGGGCAGCAGCATGAGAGACAGGAGGCGGCTATATAGGGGCCTATGGCAGATTAGGGGCCTGGCAGCAGCTATAGGAGGCCCGTAATCTGCCAGCACCCTATGTCAAAAAAATTCAACAACACACCAGCAGTGTGTGAGGAGACCTGAAAAGTGTGGCACATGGCAGGGAGTGTGGCGATGGAGACAGCAGCAATGGGAGGCCGTACACAGGGACCCATGTGACAGAGGGACTAGTAATACTGGACCCTGGCAGCAGCATGAGGAGGCGGAGTATATAGGGGCCTATGGCAGATTAGGGGGCCTGGCAGCAGCATGATGGGAGGGGACAGCAGCGTAATCTGCCAGCACCCTATGTCAAAAAAAATTCAAAAAATTCAACACCAGCAGTGTGAGGTGAGACCTGAAAAAGTGGCACATGGCAGAGTGTGGGCGATGGAGACTGGCAGCAATGGGAGGGCCGTGTACAGGGACCCATGACAGACTCTGGACCTTGGCAGCAGCATGAGGAGGCGGGGGTATATAGGGGCCTATGGCAGATTAGGGGCCTGGCAGCAGCTATAGGTAGGCCCGTAATCTGCCAGCACCCTATGTCAAAAAAATTTCTAACAACCAGCAGCAGTGTGAGGGAGACCTGAAAGTGGCACATGGCAGTGTGGCGATGGAGACAGCAGCAATGGGAGGTAGGCCGTGGGACCCAGTGGAGACTCTGGGCATTGGCAGCAGCATGAGGAGGGCGGTACTAATAGGGGGGCCCATGGCAGATTAGGGGCCTGGCAGCAGCTATGGGGGGCCCGTAATCTGCCAGCACCCTATGTCAAAAAATTCAACACACCAGCAAGTGTGAGGAGACCTGAAAGTGGCACATGGCAGAGTGTGGCGATGGAGACAGCAGCAATGGGAGGCCGTACAGGGGACCCATGAGACAGACTCTGGACCTGGCAGCTGAGCATGAGGAGGCGGCGGGTATTATAGGGGCCCATGGCAGATTAGGGGCCTGGCAGCAGCTATGGAGGCCCGTAATCTGCCAGCACCCTATGTCAAAAAATTCAACACACACCAGCATGTGTGAGGAGACCTGAAAGTGGCACATGGCAGAGTGTGTGGCGATGGAGACAGCAGCAATGGGAGGCCGTACAGGGACCCATGAGAGACTCTGGACCTGGCAGCAGCATGAGGAGGGCGGTTATATAGGGGCCCATGGCAGATTAGGGGCCTGGCAGCAGCTATAGGAGGCCCGTAAATCTGCCAGCACCCTATGTCAAAAAATTCAAACACACCAGCAGTGTGTGTGAGGAGACCTGAAAGTGGCACATGGCAGAGTGTGGCGATGGAGACAGACCCATGAGAGACTCTCTGGACTTGGCAGCAATGGCGGTAGGCCGGCCCCATGGCAGGGGGCCTGGCAGCAGCAGCCTGATGGGAGGCCCGTATTAATCTGAGAGACTCTGTGAGGACCTGGCAGGCAGCAGCATGTGGAGTGAGGCGGACCGGAGTAGCAGTATTAGGGGGGACCCAGCATGAAGGACCTGGCAGCATTGAGGGGCCTGGGGCCCATGGCAGCAGGGCCTGGCAGCAGGAGAGGGGAGGCCCGTAATCTGCCAGCACCCTATGACAAAATAAAAAAATGGAACACACCAGCAGTGTGTGAGGAGACCTGAAAGTGGCACATGTTTGAGGCATGATTCATGGCGGATTTAGTCAGTTGTGTCAGGAAACTGGTGGTTTGAAATCCAGACTAATCCACGCCTGATTCATTTTCACAAACGTGAGTCTCTCCCACACTTTGGGTGGACAGTCGTGTCCTCCGCGGAGTTACAATACCTCCTTGGCTGCCGCACTAAAACACGCGCTCCGATGCCACGCTACTGGCCGGGCATGACAGCCTTTCAAGGGGGCAAAATTCAGCTAGTTGGGGCCAAAGGTCAAGTTTCGTTGCCCCAGTAGTCAAGGGGATTGTCTACCTCGGTTGGCAGGGTGCTGTCCAAGTAGGCCCAAGCCTGTTGTTTGAGGGTCCTGCTCCAGGTTTCCACCACCTGATGCTGCTGCTGCTGCTGCTGCGGCGGCTGGTTAGTAGTTTCCTCACTGCGCTGGTGAAGAAGAAAGCTACTCATCATCGACTGCAGACTGAGGCAGCCGCGCTGCTGGTGGAGCTGCCACTGCTCCTACCACCCCACCCCTCCCCTGCTGCCATGGCAGCGGAACGCGAGCGCACAGGGCCCACAGTGTCTGAGGATGGACGTTGGGCGCACAAAGGCAGAGACCAACTGACTACATAGGTGGTTTTTATAGTACGTTATTTTGGCCTCCCTCTTCATCAGCAGGTGTGAAAAAGGCCACCATTTTTGAACGGTAGCGAGGGGTCCAACAAGGTGGGGACAGCCAAAAGTCATCCCTCTGTCTGATGGTTATTATTCGGGCTGTCGCTACGCAAGCAATTCAAGCCCGAGCATGCTATGGGGCCATTTTGTGCCAAGGAATGCGAGGGGACTCCCTGCCTCCATCTCCACAGCATACTGCCACGGTGCGTCTGGGTCCTCTGTCTCCTCCTCCTCCTCCTCTACCAGATGCTCCTGCTCCTCCACTCCTGTCCGCTGCCGCTGAGTGGAAAAAAAACCACCCATTTCACTCAATAATTCCTGAGCACAAATGTCCTCCTCTACCTCCTCCTCTTCTTCCTGTCCTGCCCCCCTTGCACAGGGGTCATGTGGCGTTGAGATCTGTGCGCCACGTCTACCGCACCCCTGACCAGCCATTGTTAACAGCATTTGTTCCAGGACGTGCAACAGAGGAATGACGTCGTTCATCATATCCATAGTTCCTGCCGACTCACGAATAGCGTGGTGGCCTCCTCAAAGGGCCTGAGCAAGCGGGCAGGTGTCACGCATGAGCTGCCAAATGGCTGACATCTAAGTTACACAGGGGAGTACCTTTATCCGCTTGTAAAACATCAGGAAATCGGTGATGGCCTTTCGCGCTGTTCGTAAAGGCGGCGGTCTAACATGTGTAGGGTTGAATTCCACCTTGTTGCAACGTCGCAGATCAGGCGATGCTGTGGAATTTCCGTTCCGTTTGCTGCCGCTGCAGCTCAAGGAGGGTGTGCTTTGCGGTGTAGGAATGGCTGAAATGCATGCAAAGTTTACGTGACATATTTTAAGGATGTCTTGCAGTGGGATGGTGGATTTTAGGAAACCGCTTGACACAACCAGATTGAACACGTGAGCCATGCATGGCGCATGGCACAAAAACCTTCCTTGACGCAGAGCAGACACCATGTTCTTTCGTCCGTTGTCGGTTCAACATGGTTCCGATTTTCAGTTTTGCGCGGAGGACAGCCATCTGTCGATTTTCTTCTTTCATTACACTCAGAAGTTCCTCCCCTGTGTGACTACGTTTCGCCAAGGCATACCAGGTGCAGCACAGCGTGGACACCGTTGCGCCCCTGCACATGTGATATGCCGGTCGGGTAATGGGACTTGGCACGGGGGTGGGGCGGCGGCTGAGGACACGGCGGCGGAAGAAGGAGGTGTACACGTGGTTGGTAGAGATAGAGGCGGGTGGGACATCTTTTGCTGGACCAAGGACGTGCAAAACGTGGAGGCAAAAGCGGCGTGACCTGTCCCAAGTTGCTGGGTGCGGCTGTGCCGGCACCACCACGTTCACCCAGTGGGCCGTAAATGACATGTACTGTCCCTGACCGTAGTTACAGCTCCACACGTCGGCGCTGCCGTGCCACTTTGGCAGAGGGACCGACATGCTCAAACAGAGACTGGCCCACCCATCTCTCTTCTTACATGTGAAATGCAGGGCTGGCACTGCCTTTTTTGGCGAAGGCGAAAGAAATGGCGTACGGCTTGGCACTCTCCACCGCGGCGCGGCACAAGCCATCATTTCTCGGAAAAGGTGCTGAGGTCGTCCACCACTTTGGAAAGGGAGGGACTGCAGCACCAGCAACTTGGACAGGAGGACGTTTCAGCTTTTGCAACCGTCGGGTGCGTGCTCGCAAAAAACTGTTGTCTCTTGGAAACGGGATTCCAAGAAAGACTGCTGACGGAATCCGTGAAGAGGAGTAGCAGAGAGAAGGAGCATCTGAAACGAGAGGGAAAGATGCCAACGAGCGACAACAAAGCACTCCCTCCCGCTGCAGAGGTGTTGGAGGAGGCCTTGACTGGCTGATAGGAGGGGCGATTGACGTCGGGGTGACGGAGCAAGTAACGGAGCGAGGGTGATGGAGCGCGGGGGGGCTGGGGCGGGGCAGAACCCGCCGTATCTTTATCACGGTTTTTTCCCAGGGCCACCAAATGGGTGAACGCTCGGCATGCATTGCTGCCGCAACGCTGTAGTCCCCAACATGGGGGCCCCCTGGCCCACGCTTGACTTTCTGGCCACATATAGTCGACAACGGCGTACGTTTTACTTCCTCCCTCGGGCGGGACTTGACTGACAAAAAAATTGCCACACACCGGCCGCCGAGTAGGAAAACTTTTGCCCCCGATTACTCCTCTTCAACTGGCTGACTGCTGCTCCTCCCCTTCCGTGCACACCGGGCACCACTACTGGCCACTACTGGCCGTGGGTGGGTAGGGGCTGCAGTGGAGCTGGTGCTTACTACTCCGTGGCCGTTTTGGCTCTCACTGACACTGCTTGCACGGTGCTGACCCTGCTGCTGCCTCCTGGGCAACCCACCGAGGACTGTTTTTCGCTCGGCTGCCAAGCTGCCACCCTCTTCTCTCCTGATGATGCGGAAGAAATATTGCCTGATGACGACGAGGCTGCCAAGTGCGATCAACCTCCTCATCATCAAGTAGGGGGTCTCCGCCTCACTACTTGCCCCCTCGGCTGCGTCTGGGTGTCAGGGGACACAGGAGGACCTGTCTCTCTAGACCGGCTACCGAGAGCCACTCTCTCCTCCACTAGCGCCACTACTTCTTTCTGGCTGGCTGCTGAAAAGAGGCGGATGTCTCCCCCCCTTCCTGACCGCCCTCTGTTAGCTCTTCCTCTGACTGTACAGTGGGGCTGAATGAGCCCACAGCATGCGATATAACAACGCTTTCGCTTGGTGAGGGAACACAAAAAGGACAGGGCAGGTAGAGGACACGTGATTTCAGTGGGCTTGGTCCCGGGCCATGCCAAACTAACGGTTGTGTCTGACGTACCCACCGACCGTTGTTGGCTGTAAGTGTGTCAGAGGTGACCTGGGAAGAGGAAGACGACCGGAGCTCAACCAATCGATGTCCTCCTGGCAGGGTTTGTCGGTGGAGACACGACCTAGCTGGATGACACCGGAGCACTGGCCTCTGGCTGCGACATAGTGCTGCCTCGACCCCCCCTTCCTCTTGCTGCCACGTCTGCTGGACGCTCCTAAAAACATTTGCCTCCTCCTGCCATACTCCTCTGCATGTTGTCTGACATACTCTTTAATTCAACGATTTTCTGTGTCCCTGAGTAACAATTCTGTGTCCCCTGAGTAACAATTCTGTGTCTGTACCCTGAGTAACAATTCTGTGTGGCCCTAAGTAACGTTCTGTGGCCCTCAAACAATCTGTGTCCTCGTGCGAAACAATTCTGTGTCCCTCAGTAAACAATTTTCTGTGTCCTGTAACGGTTCTGTGGCCCTCAGTAACAATGCATTCTGTGGCCCCCCTGAGTAACAATTCTGTGTGGCCCTCAGTAACAAATTCTGTGTCCCTCTGTTAGAGTAACAATTCTGTGGTCCCTGAGTAACCGAATTCTGTGTGTCCCTAAGTAACAATTCTGTGGCCCTCCCTGTATAACAATTCTGTGTCCCTGGAGTAACGTTTCTGTAAAATAAACTTCTGTGGGCCCTCAGTAACATTTCTGTGGCCCCTGAGTAACAATTCTGTGTCCCTAGAGTAACAAATTTCTGTGGCCCTGTAACAATTCTGTGGCCTGAAGTAACATTTCTGTGGCCCTCAGTAACAGTTCTGTCCCTCCTAGTAACAATTCTGTGTCCCTGAGTAACGTAACAATTTCTGTGCCGAGTAACAGTTTCTGTGGCCCTAAGTAACAGTTTCTGTGGCCCTCCCTCCAGTAACAATTCTGTGTCCCTGAGTAACAATTCTGTGGCCCTAAGTAACGGTTCTGTGGCCCTCAGTAACAATTCTGTGTCCCTGAGTAAACAATTCTGTGTCTGTCCCTGAGTCTGTAGTAACAATT